ATGGAAGTGTGTGTTGGACCTGTAATGCAATTCTGTTGGTAGAGTTGTTGTCTGGTGTGCACAAAACTCTTGGTTTGGGCTTCAGCATTACATAAACCATGTTGAAATTAGGATAACAGTGGCAAAGGGTGGGGGCATATTCCTGTAACCCCAGCACTTGGGAGTTAGAGCTAAAAGGGATCTACTGAAGAGCTGGCAGTGATCGACTGCTAAGAGCACATACTTGTTAGCTATGGTATCTGCCTCCTCAAGGAACAAACTGCTATGCAGTGTTCCTGGTCCCCTGGAAGAACAAGTTAAGAACGATCAGCTTTCTTCCCCATATGCAATGGTTAATCCTGATTGATTGGCATTTTGTGGGGAGCCCTAGAATCACTAGGACAGGAGCCTCTGGCCACAGCTGTTAGGTTGATTAAGGTGAGAAGAGCCTGGCTCAATGCAAGGGAAATCACTAACTGTGAAGGATCATGCAACATTCTCCACCAGCGCTTCTAACTCTTGCCATTAAAACTCCCCATCATGAAGGGTGAGCCAAAACACATACTTCCTTACATGGCTTTTGATGCATATTTTCCCCAGCAACAGGAGAAACAATAATACAGAAAATTGGTACCACAAGTGAGTCTGTTGCTCTTCTAATAGTCAACATGTGGTTCATATGTCTTTGGAAGCAATTTGAAGAAGGAATGTTCTATGACAAGACTTTTCCTGTAAAAACACATTCCACATGTCTATTATGCCAAATAGAGAGGCCACAACAGGCCAAAGTAAGATAGCACCTAAGTCCAATGAGATGAAACAGTGAGTTTTATTGTGGTTACTTATAGGAATATGGGAAATGGGTTACTGATATAAGCAGAAATGACTCAAGGACAGCTGAATCACCAAAGCTGGCCTCAGCACTTATGGCAGCTCACAAAAGCTGCTAAACCTGAAGCACAGTATATAACCTGGATTAAAGAGCCTTTTTGTGGAATACAATGTTTCAATATTTGAGGAGACTGCTACAGACAGCATGAGAAATCATCAAAGGCTTGAGAACTTTGAGCTAGAAACATCTTAGAGTGCTGTTAGCAGACCTTACATCAGAGTGGTATATTAGAAGACAAAAATGCTTCCAGAAATGTGGACAGTGGATACTTGGTTAGAATGGTTTCAGATATTAGCCATGAAAAGGGCTTGGTGTACCATGCCCATGTCTTAAGAGTTTGAATAAGGCTGTATTTAATGCAAATGATTTTTTCTGTTGAAAAACTTCTAAAACATCACAGTATTCAAGGTGTATTATGGTTGCTACCTGCTGCTCTCATCCATATCTAAAGTTGTGAGTGCTAAAAGAGAATGGAAAGATAAGAAAAATATGGTTTTGCATGGAACAGTGGGTGAGAAAATATATAGCTTAGGATGAGAATGTAGACATTAAAACATCTGCCTGTTAAAGAGAATCTATTCTGCAAGACCCCACCCACCAAACACTTTTGTCTTATGAAAATATAAATTTTTGAGTAAGGAAAGCCTAAATTAAAATAGCCACTGAACAGTTTCCCTGCTCCTCAAAATCAACTATCTTGGAAAGAATCTTCTAAAGTCATCACATAGATTTTGATGCAACTCATTGCAGGGAGCTTAAGCCAGACAGTGAACAGCATCATCATCACCTAGGCAAACATGTCTTCAGAAGCTACTGAATAAAGCTGTGGTGAAGATTCCCCAGTTGTAATGAGGAAACCACAATACTAAGGAAATACAGTGCATTTGGCCCACATAAGCCAAATTTGCTATAGACAGATCAATCCAAGAGGCCAGGCTACCTTAGCCTCTTGGAGCCCAGATTATTCTATCTTGAACTCCTGATGTGTAATGTGGAGCTGGAGAATTTGGTATTTGTCCTGCTGGGTGTGACTATTGCTTTGATCCAATTTTTTCATTGCTCTCTGCATCCCTCAGTACTGAGGATGGAATGCTTACTCTGGACCATTGTGCACTGAAATTATATAACATTTTGACTGAACAGTTAAGGGATTTCCTTGACCCTAAAATGAGCCTTAGATTTTAGACTTTTAAACAACTGTTGGGACTGTTAAAGATTCAGGGGACTGTTAGAGTTGGACTGAAGAGATTGTGCATGCTGATGTTACTATGAATCTACTGAGCCCAGATAAACCTTCCTTCCTCAACCTAGTTTTGTCAGGTATTTTGTCACGGGAATGAGAAAAGCAACTGATACATTATTGCTTTATTGCTATGAAGTGTGAGCTTTCTAGGAAAGTGTATCAGAGATGACAGGAGATGAATCATCCTTAGCAGAGGGAAGTCATGGAAATGAAGGTTAGAAAAGGCATGGTTTATTGAAGACATTATGGAGTTCAGCATTCTAAAGCTTTCTGTATCTGCTCATTTGAGAGGCAGTTCTGCCACTAGTACTGATGTAGTGAAACTGTTAGTAGTGGGTGCTTGGAGGCCTCTATTGCTGTCGCCTGAGGAGGTGCTGAAGCATGTGTGATCATTTCCATTATACAGTTGATTATTTAGAGAACTAACAAATTTGGGTAATTTGTTTACATTTTTTTTAAATCTTTATTTATTTTTTCTTATTTTACATATCAAACCCAGTTCCCTCTTCCTCCCTCCCTCTCTCCCACCCACCTGTGCCCCCCCAACCACCCTCCCAGCCCATTCCCTCCACACACTCCACAGGGAGGGTGGTGCCTTCCAGGTCAACAAAATCTGTTAAGTCATTTGAATAGAGACTAAGCCCTCCCTCCTGCCTCTAGGTTAAGGGAGTATCTCTCCATGGAGAATGTGCTCCCAAAGTTCTTTTGTGCACCAGAGATACATTCTGGTTCCACTGTCAGGGGTCCCTTAGACTGCCCATGCCTTCTAACTGAGACCCATGTTCAGGGGCTCTTAGTCATTCCCATGCTGGATTCCAAGCTATCAGTCTGGGGGCACATTAGCTCCTCCTTGTTCAGGTCAGCTATCTCTGTGGGCTTCTGCAGCCTGGTCTTGTCCTCCCTCTCTGCATCTGGATTCCAGTGTGGGTCAGTGTTTCGCTGTGGGTGTCTGCTTCTGTTTCCATCAGCTACTAGATGAGTTAGTTTACTTTTTTTTTTTTTTTTTTTTTCATCAGGAAGGAAACCTAGATCTGGCTTTTGATTCCTTTCCTCTTCCCTTCAGCACACATAAGAATGAAGAATGGTCTCTGTCTCTCTTTTGTCTCACCTTCTATCCCTTTGATGTGCTTTACTAATGCAGAAAAGAGTGCAGATGGACCTCATCAGCAACCCCCCAACCTCTCTGGCATTTGGGCTTCAATGTGTTGTCTCAAAGGAAACTTGTTGGAAGGGTGAAGATTGTGCTTTGTGATCAGCACCCATCTGACTTTGTCATCTTATTTTACCTGGGATCCTATGTCAAAGACTACTGTTCCACCTCAGAAGGTCCCTATATATATTTTTCTGAAATAACATTAATTCCTTCCCTGACATTCCATTCAGCCTGAGCCAGGACAGTCCACAGGGGTAATTTCGCTAATATAGACATATTTATGTAAACAATTTCTTTAATAGGCTGTCAGTAACTTATCATAATTTGAAACTGCCTTTTGCTTTTATATAGCACTAAGTCAATGTGTCAACATTATTGTTATTGTCTAAGTGAGATCTGATAGAATTCTACTATGGGAGGAAACAGGAACAGGGAAACTTAAGGGATAAAAGAAGGTTTAAGAATGAAATCAGAGAGAGAGGGAAACACACACACACACACACACACACACACACACACACACACACACACAAAAACAACATCCTTGAATTATAAAAGTGACTCGGAAGAGTGAAAAAGTAGTTGATTTTGAAGTGGAATTTTATAAGACAAGGGGTCCTTTTCTAAAGATACCACATTTCATAAACACCCAAAAGTAATTATTAAGTAATCAGTACCAGGTGAATTGAGAAAAAAAATTCTAGATGGCTGCCAGAAGTCAGTGTTTGAAGTACGGATGTAGAGCGTTCTCTTATAGAAGGTAATACCAGAATCAGATGGTAATGCAGACAACCCAACCAATTCCTGTCAAGTCAGGCAGCAAGTGGTAAGGGAATGTTGTAAGTGGGTCATGCAGGAGTGTAATTTAGCATGTAGGATGACCGACCGAGAACATCAATAATTAGTCAGCACATGGCAAAAGCCCCTGAGACTCATTCAGAAACAAATGCAAGAAGGCAAAGATTTAAAACAAACAACAAATAGATCCCCCCACAAAAAAAAAAAAAAAAAAAAACACTCTGAAAAATCAGATGTGTTGCTGCTTTCTCTGATGTACATTCAGTGTTCCTCACTGTGATGACACAAGATGTATGTCCCAAGGCAGTGAAGATCAAGTGGTTTTAGTAGTGATCAGTAGACTATCCTGCCTGACATCTTTCATTCACACAGTTGGTCAACTTAAAGGTTTTGCTAAGCCTATAACTTCCTAATGTGTTCACAACAAGTTTCACAACAATGAGACAGTAGTCTTTACAGTATCTCTCATAATGAAGTAATGGGGTTGGAGAGATCAAGGAAAGCTGTAGGAATTGTGTGAGGATACCAGTATCATCAATATTCCTTTCCATAGCAAAAATGTAAATATTATCCTTAAAATTTGCTTCATTTGAGGTTTGAAAATATATTTGAATTTATAGTCTTTAAATGCATATAAACTTGCTTCTTGAATTAGTATATCACTTACTGAAACCAATTGGGTATGAATGATTGCACTGAAGTAGTAATATTTTACAAGAGCCATTTTATAGAAGATAAAATATAGATGGTCCCTTGACACAGGTGCAATATTAACCATTGAGGTGTAACTTTTAGAGGTCAAGAGTTCACACCATTCCTTTTGTGTTGAATATTCTGATAAATGAACATCTCATATGACAGGAAAATAATATAATGAGTATTTTATTAACTTTGAGAGGAAATAAAAAGATGAATGACATTATATTTTGTTCCAGCTTGAAATAAAAGGCAAGCAGTTCCTGGCCTGTGAAACCCCAGTATGAGCCTGTCAGTATGCTGGCCCCAGTGCTGAGGGACATCATGGGTTTTGATTCCAGGTGAGTTGAGTGTGTCTAATATGGCCATGATTCAATGTTGCTTCTGTCCATCATTATTTTACAGAATTTATACTGAAGTTTCACAAACACAATTTATTATTGAAACACGTCATTTCTCAACCACTGTGTGTGTATGGGGGGTGTTGCCTCTTAATCTGTTGCCTCCAGTTGGGAACCTTTTACTCCTTCTGGGTTGCAATGTCCAGTGAAATTATATGAGGATTTGTACACAGTCGCATTGGATCTTGTTAGGACATATTCAGTGATTATCCCTGGGTGGCTAGTCCTATCTTTTCTTCATTTTTTTCTTTGATGGGGGCAGGGAGGGTGCATTGGAGGGATCAGTCTAAGAGAGATGGGAGGTGGCTGGGAGGATTGGAGGGAGGGGAAACTGAGGTTGGAGTGTGATGTATCAGACAAGAATAATAGTTAAAGAAAATGAGAAAGCGAGAGAGAGAATTGTCCTTTTAAAATCCTATCATGTGTATACAATCAATGCATGCTTTCCCCTCATAATTTTAAATGGCATGATTTGTAGGAACATGTAGATTTAAGGCAAGGGTCAAAATGCCTAAACAACAAGGAAAGGTTATGATTACATACCTGCAGAAGTAGAGAGTAGTGGTGGTTGTTTCTAGCAATGGTCCATGGTACCATACCATACCTTTTAACAATAGATGCTACAAGGCTGATTGCCACAGTGGCAACAAATTTTATCACTCACAGAATAGACAAAACAAACATGCAAATTGCTCAATTACTCAAAAGACTCCTTTATTTCTGATTTTAATTACAAAAGTTCTGAACTCTGACACGTAATCATGATCCCCTTAGCTAAAGTATACAATGGTACAGAAGGATCAGCATGAATGTTTTGTGAGCTAGAGCCACAGACTACTGAGTTAGGAAAGGGAAAACTGATATTAACAATTTAAAGTGTTATATACTTTGTAAGACCTGTGTTGCAATCTTTAAAATTCTTCAGTTTTATGTGTAACTCCCATTGATTTACAGCTTTAACCATTTTCAAGTTGAAGAAAAAAGAAACTATCAAGTATACTATGGTCATGGTTATGGAAAGATATAAAGTACACTGTAAGGACTTGATCTGTTTGTCAATTATTTTAATGCCTCTCTCTTCTGCTACGGTAATTCTATATGTAGTGAATGGAGGTCAGATGATAATTAAGAATGTCTATAAGGACTAAAATGATAGGGTGTTTCTTAGAGTCTGTTTTAATGGCATTGAAAATTAGGAACATTCCAAGAACTTATAGAATTTATAGAGGTTTTTTTCTATAGTAGAAATCTATAACAATTAAAAACACTTGGTTTTAAAAAATGATTTCACAATGAGAAGTAACAAGAATATTTATAAAGGAGAAAACTGAGAATTTTAATTATTTTCCCATGTATGAAAGAAAAAAAGTGGCAAAGGGGTAAGTATGGTAAATTGATTTTAATGCCATATAAATGATACAATAGTATATGTTTATAATATGATTATACTATATACTCTATAGTATAGTTATATATAATCATGTCATATATGATTATATGTGATTTTATATATATATGTATATATATATATATAGTTGATATGTATTGATAATTTTCTATAACCAAAGGGCGACTTTATTTAGAAAATTCAGTATGAAATTTATTTATAATTAAAAGAGTAACTTTAATTTCTAGAGACACTAAAAAGATTTTCAAGAATTGCAGCAAACTGATGTATTTCTATATAAAATCAATATATATTCACATTATTTTGTAATAAGAAAACATAACTTCTTTTTATGTTAACAAATGTTACTATTCAGTTACTGTGTAAATTCTACAAATATTAAACAGAATGTGGGTAATATGTACATTATATTTACATATATTGTATGATTTTTGATTGTTGGGAGATTATAGAATAAGTGATATCTGTTGCATAAATGTGAATATTAATATATGTTTTAAGCTTGTATAAAGTATTCCCGAGATTCAAATTCTCTATTTCACTTTTCCTGTGTATTTCATCTCCTTGTCTATGTGTAGTATGAGGTTGAACCTGTGCATCCGTAAAGACTGTCTTATGAGTCTCAGTGTGTGTGTCTGTCTGTCGTGCTTTCTGAATGTGTCTGTCCCTAACAAAAGGCTTTTTCCTATACTTATTGAACAGCCCAGGAAATCTCACAAGAGTTACTTTATGGAAATCTTTAACACATAGTTTTGTGAGGGATTAAGTCAATGACTCTAACTGACCCAGATAACATTGTACTCTAATAGCAATGTTTATCAAGCAATACCTGTATGTTGCAATCAACTACTGCATTGGAAAAAAATTTTTTTTTAATTTTCTTTAACATATCAATCCCAGTTCCCTCTCCCTACTTCCCTCCCTCCCTCCCTTCCTCTTTCCCTCTTCCCCCTTACATGCACCCCGACCAACCTCCCCTCCCACCACTCCCACTCCACATGTAGGGTGATGCCATCCAGGAGGCGTCATCTAAACCTGTCAAGGCATATGAAGTATGGATAGAACTTCTCTCTTGTCTCTAGCTTAAGGGAGTATCACTCCATGAGGGATGTGACTGCAAGGTCCTTTTGTGCACCGGCAATACATCCTGGTTCCACTGTCTGAGGTCCCTTAGACTGCTCAGGCCTTCTAGCTGAGACCCATGTTTAGGGGTTTTGAGTCAGGCCCATGCTGGATTCCCAGCTATCAGTCTGGTGGCCCGTTAGCTCCTACTTGTTCAGGTCAGCTGTCTCTATGTGTTTCTGCAACCTGGTATTGTCCTCTCTATCTCTGTATTTGGATTCTAGTTCGACTCTATGTTTAGTTGTGGGTATTTGCTTCTGTTTCCAACAGGTACTAGATGAGGGTTCCATGATGGTGGATAAGTTAGTTGTTGATCTCATTATCAGGGAAGGGCATTTATGGTAGCCTTTCCACTAATGCTCAAATTGTTAGATGGAGTCAGTCTTGTAGGTCTCTAGACATTTCTTTAGGTTCAGTTTTCTCTTCAAACATATAATGGCTCCCTCATTTATGCCCTCTCTCTCTCTCTCTCTCTCTCTCTCTCTCTCTCTCTCCTCTCTCTCTCTCTTAGTACCCAATATCTTTTCTGTCTTCTATTCTTCCCCTGACTCAATATTCCTAGTCCCATGTGCTTTCCTCTCCTCCCCTTCTCTTTCTCCTACTTTCCTCTCCCCTCACTGCCCCCTCCCCACTCCACATGTGCTGTGGAGAACTTGTCCCTTCCCCTTCTGTGAGGGACCTTATATGAAATCTCTTAGAATCCACCTTGTATCCTAGTTCCTATGGCGGTATGAATTATAGGCTGGAGATCATTTGTTCTAGGTCTAAAATCCATATATGAGTGAGTACATACCATGTTCCTATTTTTGTGACTGGGTTACCTCATTCTGAATGCTTCTTCAAGTTCCATCCACGTGCCCACGTGGAGTAGTATTCCATTATGTAGATGTGCCATGTCTTATTTATCCATTCTTTAGTTGAGGGGCATCTAGGTTGCTTCCAGGTTCTTGCTATTACAAATAGTACTGCTACGAACATAGTTGGGCACATGTCTTTGTTGCATAGATGCAGAGTATTTGGGTATATGCCTAAGAGGGGGATTGCCAGGTCCTGTGGTAAATTGATTCCCATTTTCCTGAGGAACTGCCATACTGATCTCCAAAATGGCTGTACAAGTTTGCACTCATTTTTTAAAGGTTTCTTTCCTCCTGTTTGCTGTTTTCTGCAAAGTATTATCAACACATGTGCACTAGACTTGGAATAGGAACATGGAAGGATGAATAACTTAAGGTTATAGCTATGGTTTAGCTTAAGTTTACAAGTTGATTACATGGAAAATTCAATGCATTTAAGGTTGCTTGTTCATTGTTCCCTTAAAGACAGATTAAACAAACAGATCAAATGCAAATAGGATAGCAGTCATAAGCTTTAAATGACCTAAATGTAGGTAATTTATGCATTTTTGTCTGTCAGGTCCAGCAAAAGATTTAGTTTCTTAGAATATAAGAGATATTTACATAGTATTTCACCATCATATTTCAATGTACAATATCTGATGCAATTATTGCTAAAAAAAAAAAGTCATAGTATTGACTATGTTGCCTTAAAAAAACAAAAAACAAAAAAAAAACCCCTGAAGTTTTCTTGTGTTCTGCTGGCTTGTCTTTCAGTGACTGCTTATATTGCATTTCTATGGCACATGGGTATACATTTATGTGTATTATCATAAACCAACATTACTGAAAACCCTGGTAACTAGTTCTCTCAAATGCCTATGTTCCAGTCTTCCCCAGAGACAGTTACCCATTTGAATATTACAGTATTTTCTTGTCTATATTCTATATTTGACTTAAATTTTTCAATTTACAATTATTCAAATTACATTGCATTTTTTTTGTTTTTTGTTTTTTTCACCAAAGACTTGCATACTCTCAAGTCCATAACCTTAACCTTAACCAAACTCTAATTTTGTATTACCCCGATATTAGAAATTTATAGTTATATTAAGCTTTCGTTCTCCAATGTTGATTGCTTTAAAAAGTAAAGTATCCTTTCTCTTGAATACTCAATGCATGTACCAGTTTTTAGGAATACTTACTCAGATTTCTTTAACTATAGGTAGTCTTGTAGCTCTGCTTCTTGTCACAAAACTTATGTTGTTTTATTTCTTCAGGACTGACTCCTGCCCATTTTGATGAGGTTCTTGAACATGTGAACTATCGATCAAATGTATGTCTACTATTAAATTCTGACCCATATTATCCTAAATTGAAACAGTACAAGAGATACACAGGCTAAAATTTCAAAACAACTCACACCCCCCAAATTGCGTATGTCTAAAGAGGTACAAGAGGACCATGCTCATCACACTGATCTCTACTTAAACTATTAAGAAAACAAACTAATTCTTCTTAAACTATAATCTCTAAATACTTCACATCCTCTCCTTCACTATACCTCCATCTATCTC